AAGCTGAATCACCAATTCCCATAAAAAATGGAATCACAACCAGAAATCACCATTAGCTCTCATTTACTTTGGCCATCTCCCAAAACACAGACTTCTCGTGTATCCTCAACTTGCTTTCATTTTTATTTAGTAGCAGCCACCCTCAAGTTCTTTAATTTGCACAAGTCAGTCTAATATGTCACTTCTTTTTGCGAAAGTGATATATCTTATCTCTATGTTTAGACGTCAATCTGTCTCTTATATGAATACCAAGATTCCTATCTTAATTCCTCCCACGAATGACCAAACCCTCAGATACAACCACAAGATGCTTCATCTTCTCCTTTGATAGCATCATAGATCTCATTAAGCGTGAGATATCACGACTATAGAGATTAGTATCTCTAAAATCATACACAACAATATTAATACAAGTTCTTCCTCATCATATTTAAATTTCATAGTCTCAAGATTAGCTACAATTTCTTTAAAAACTGTCAAGTGATCCTCAATAGACATACCTTCAAACATACGGTGAGAATACATTCGTTACTTCAAGTGTAACTTACCGAAAATAATAGTAAGATGAAATAAATCAAACACAAATAAGAACATTAATATTTTATGTGAAAATCTATGATGGGAAAAACCACGGACAAGATATTAGAATTCACTAGATCAAAATCAAATTCAAGATCAATGATTGTTTTTATAAGATTTGATGTACTCTCAACCAAATCTAATGTCTCTATAATGTTATCAAGAGTCTACGAGTCGTGAAATATATATAGAACCCCATTCTAGTGTTTTAAATGAAGTAAGAATCAATAAATTTATCAGAATCGTGAAACTATTTTTGGGCAAATAACATTGCCACTAGCGTGCCCTAACTCATGGCAACCGAACGGCCAAGGCAGCGCTCGAGCTCCGTGTCTCTAGACAAAAACCTCGAAATCACTTCAAATGGTGCCTAGGCAATAGGAGTGGCCATTGGGAGCCCCTCTCTATCCAAAATCCATATTTTGACTTCTTCGAGGACTCTTCATTCAAAACACCAATTCCTTTTCAACCAAAACACCAATTTCTAATTGAATTAGGTCACAATTCAAGACCTTTAATGTCTGTCACATGTAGATTTAATTCAGTTTTATTCATATTATATAATAAATGGGTAGTTGTGAGATTTGGAGACATTTGCCAATTCTCATATCATATTTTACTACCTCATTTATTCTAAATCATTATATATGAAGAATTTACCCGCATTTAATTATATTTTCTTGTTGATGTTTATTGTTGATTCTAGATTAGCGTACTAAATCATCTAAACTCCTACAACAAACCTATTTTCCGTAGCAGCAACTACCGCTAAACTTAACATTGATTTAATTTTGTTTTTTGTGAACTTTTACTTCTAAACATGTTTACTATATTTCTTTTGACATCACATCTACACACAAGAAGTTGTCTGCTTTGGAAGAAATACGATTTGGTAGGGAATTAAAATAGCGATTCAATTAAATCGATATGCAAATAAGGCACACTATACACATACACTTTTAAAATATAAATCATACTCAAAACGTGTAAACAATTAGCTGAGAGAAATGAGTACTTTGGGGTAGAGGTGTCAAGAAGGACGGGCCGGCCAGACCTGTGAAAATCGGCCCAGATTGACCCGTGACGCGAGTGGACGGTTCACGGGTCAAGGAGGTGTGACCCGCAGGTTTCGCGGGTTGCACCTTCACGGGCCGCGGTTAACCCGCTGACCCGTGAAAAAAAAAATTAAAAAATTTGAGAAAAATGGGAGATGTGTCAACCTAGTTGGAATGTACTTATACTATAAATATTTGATAATAGTAATTAGAAATACATTTAGTTGTTATTTGTTAAGTTAAATTTAACTTTGTAAAACTACAAACAATTCACGTAACATTAAATTTGAATTCTATGTAAATATTTTTTGATATAAATATGATTTTATTATTTTATTCAATTCTTAGTTTACATTTAACAAAAAAAATATTTTTTGCTATAAATATGAAAAATTATATATTTTTATAATTTTATTTATA